CATAACATGATGCGGAGCTATCGTGTTTTCTGTTCAATCTCTTAAAATTGATCTTGTTGATCAAGTAAAAAAAAAATCGAAGGCCATTTTATCAAGAACAGTGTTAAAAGCCACACAATGTAAATCAACGTCTCATTGTCATTGCCAGAGAGAGAGAGAGAGAGAGAGAGAGAGAGAGAGAGAGAGAGAGAGAGAGATCATATACTCATCATCATTGAATAATTTACAGGTGTTCTTGTAAATTGTGCACATCGTCTTTTTATAAGTATCAGTCATAGCTTTATTCCCTTTTAAAAAGTTATGGAACTACTTGAAATTGATGAATTACATGCATTGTCGAGAAATATGGAATTTAATTGGAAAACAATGGCATTATGATCAATTCATGAACTTCGTGAATTCAAGATTTGTTGGTTACCAAAATTCGATAATGATCTCAATATACTGAATAACGACTTGAAATAGAAAATGATACTTCTTCCATAAGGTTATGAAGTCCATGAAGTTGATATTAAAAGATGCTGTAATTCCTCATTGACAATATATATGTAGTCTTTGATACTGTAATTCCTCATTGACAATATCTATGTAGTCTTTAGAGACCAGGTCCTTCAATAAACTGTTGGAATTCCTATTTCCACTAATTGCACTCCTTTATTATCCGACCAGTTTTTATATTCAAATGAAGCAGAATTTATTCAAAACTTCTTCATTGAGAAAAACAAATCGTGATTTGGCCTTCAAGTCGACATTTAGATATAGACATTTTTACATTATTGTATTTGGATAGACCTTTTATCAATGAACAATAGTTACTTTTATTCATATGTGAACTCGATATATCCCAGTGAAGTCGAAATAAAAGACACTGCAGTCTGTGTACATGTACATCTGTTTCATATTTGAATGGAAGTTTTACTGGCGATAATGGCCAACCAATAACTAAACTGTGTCACAAACGGAATAACTTCAGCTTTTTCATCATCAACTTTGCTTATTTATATAGCAATATTCCAACATCACCTGCTTCTGTTGTTGATGTCTCTCAGCTGATTTGATACATAATAACATGCCCATTAATACGATCATTTTTAAACCGAGACAAGTTGCTGACAAATAACTTGATGTTACAAGGATTTAAACAACCCCCTCAAAAGTCAGCTTTTCGCAAATTCAACGGGTGTTAGAATGACCTTGTTTGTAAATACAATCTTTCGTTAGGCCGTATTTCGTTTCACATGTGTCTTTCACTAATTATTAATTTTCAATTGTCAATGAGTACATGACTAATTAAAATTAGTCATGTACTCATTGGCAATTGAAAATTGTTAATTAGTGAAGGACACATGTGTCATACCATTTGTTAGGTCATAGCTTTTATATCAAATTTGACTAAGGAGTAATCCGTGTACATAATCAATACATAAGCCACGGTGAATTTGACCGGTCGTCAGGGAATGCTTATTCCTCCTAGGCACCTGGTCCCCTTTTCTGATGTTTTAAGAGGTCCGTGTTTTTGCCCTGTTCACGATTCGTTTTGATCCTTATTTGTTATCTTCACCTTTTACGTTATTATCTTATTTCAATCGTTACTAAACATATGGGAAAAAAGTAATGGTGATTTTTTGCATTTACAGTAGACACAATTGAAATTTTTTTGTTTAGTGCAACTTATTTTTTTGATAACACTTGTACGTTACAAGCCAATGCAATTTTGATTTCAAGTCACCAAAAGAATACTGGGGTCTCTTCAAAATTCATAAAGTTAATAAAGAGTGTTACCGCCATTGGCATCGAAACAAGATTAACAATATGTCTTTTTAATGCAATCTAATTGTTCAAAAAGGCTTGGAATGTTATTCCAATTCTGAACCAGTCAACGATCCAGATCAAACATCCTGAGTGTTGGATTTTGACAGTTACGGAAGCCATGTAGGTTCATGAATTTACTACCCTAGATAAATATCGATGTTATATACCTGACGAGGCACAAATTTAACTGAATTGAAATTTGAGGACATCAAGCAGTAATCATGCTTCAAATTTCGATTGAATATATAAATTGTGGGGGGAGCTGAATACATCAAAAGGTGGGATCAGGTGCCATGGAGGAGAAGGTATCCCTTGTCGACCGGCCACACTGGCCGTGTGCCCCTTGTCATGATCGGGTAAACGGAAAAATCAATACGCAATTCAGTAAAAAAAAAATGACCTTATAACTTTTATGAAAAAGTCAGTCAACATTTGACTTCACAAGGGACTGTACAAGGTCATTGTATCGACCCATAATTTGCAAAATATTGACTTTCAATGACATTTTTAATATATACCTTTGCCTTTTATTTGGAAGTGTATTCATTTTAGTGCTTTTGGCAGAAAGCAGTCGCTAAATCAAGGAAATAGCTAAATGCTCTCTCTCTCTCTCTCTCTCTCTATATATATTATGAAATATGCTAAATCAAATCTGTCCTGTCTTGTTAATAAATCAATTTCCACAAAATATCATGCGCACTAAATATTATATATTTACAATGTTTGTCAGTAACTTGCTTCAGTTTAGAACTTGGTTGTACGTAGCACATGCTCACGTGTATCGAATCAACTGGGAGACATAACCATCATACGCAGGTGATCAATGTTGTTAGTTACAATTAATGTTTTATTTTCGCATGTTTAGTAAAACGTTCTAATATGAAATATATGTGTCAGACCCTGTGGCATCTTTTATTTAAGGTTTAAGGAATACTGTACGTGTACATAAATTGGCGTATTCAAATTTAGCGCAATCTCTGGGTATGGAGTTGTTGGTGTAATCATGAATTAGCGTATATTGTATACATAAATGATTTCTTAGCGGTATTCATAAATTAGCCCAATGTTGTATGCGCCAAAGCCGCTAAAATATGAAGCCCGCTTTTTAAGTACACAAACAGTATATTGAAAGAAAATTAATATTATTAATTGATAAAATAACGTCAATATTCCTAAAGGTCGAATCGAAGACCACAGCAAAAGACTCCTCTTTATATATATATATATATATATATATATATATATATATATATATATATATATATATATATATATATATATATATATATATATATACAGTGTATATATAATCTGCTTATAATTTTTTACAGGTGAAGATGTAAAAAAAAAATCTCTTCGCGTAAAAAAAAAAACAAAAACTCATCATCATCCCAAAGACTAATTTTCTGCTTACGTCATTTAAAATCGTTTGACGTATTTTTAGCTTGCCGAAGAATTGGACGCCGTAGATTGAAAACTGAAGAGTAAAAAATGAAGTAGATTTTTGCATATTAAAAGAAAAAAAAGTTTTGTCTTTTTGAGGAGAAAGCTTATTGATGTGGAAGAATAGACGAGCGAATTATTATCGCAAATTATTCCACTTGTCAAATTTCTCATTATCGCGCTACGGAAATAATAAATATTCATAAATCATCAAAGTTTTCAGTCGTCCAATTCCTGAAATAAAGAAATAATCAAAGTTTCAACATTTTGATGTAACTTGGCCAGTTGTATTTGTTCATTGCTTTTTCATCAGAAATCAGATTACTTAACAAAATAGTGAAGAAGACTTAGAAATACGTAGATAGATTTAGAAGTCATTACAAAGCTTGATATTTTTTCATATATATTTTCGTCCAAATGAGATTAGATTTGAAGTTAATCTTGAATGTTTTTTCTATCTTAACATGTATGATCCCCTTTTTAGCACATAAATTATGAAAAAAAAATCCATGGACAAGTTTTATGATGTACACTCAAAGTACATGCATTTGGTGTATTATTTTCAAAGTGAAATACAAAACAATACCTTAACTGAAATAAGATACTTATCTTCTGTGTAGACCTTGAAGATAATGGTCAAAAGAGACTTTTGAAATATCTTATGAATAAAGATAGGATGATTAAAAAAGACAGGGACCCCAAATATGCTATCATTCGAAGAATAATTAGTGTATTAGATTTCTATTTTACGGGAAAATTGATTTTTGAAGGACTAAATGAATCGATATTGAAGCCAAAAATTCTCAAACAATCTGTATATAATGCTTCTCTTAAGGATAAGTATTAAAGATGCCCCATTCTACTTAACAGACGGGAAAAGTAACAATTAGTGGTGACTATTTTTCTGTAAATACAGTGTACCTGTAAATGTCACAGTTTATAATTCCATACAGCTTAAGAGATTTTCCTGGAATTTGATACTAACATTAGATCAATAGAACAAACGAATGGTGGGAAAATGACAGATATAGTTCCAAGGTAAATTACCATCCCTATGGTTTGCTGGAAAGGAAACGCATCATTTTTTTTACAAAAATCAAATAAATTTGTTATGCTACAACCTTATGTTACAGCGATATTCAATATTGTCTAAAAAAAACTGTTCTACAACAAAGAGTTAATGGTAAAATATTTAGGAAGGTTTTTCTGCGTCGCCGTTTTGAAAAAATGAGGACGTATTTTCTGTCAAAAATTGGATTGGATATTAAAAATGATTTTTTGTCCCTTTTTATATCACAGAAATCTAGATTTTTTAAGTAGCTACATCATATTGATTGTAAAAGTAGAATGCACGCAATGCTAGAATTAGAATAAAGTATTTATTATGGCTACAAAAGAGGTGGTCACATTTAAGTTGTATAATGCTTATTTCGCTGTCAACAAAGGATATCTTGATTTTTTTTTTTATAGTGAGTACATTTGTTCTTCTATTCTGGGTGTTTTACATTTTTATAGAAGTCTGAACAAATATCGAAAGTGTAATAAATTCGTTTTTGTGATTTCCTAATGACAGTCAGTTTAGTTTTATTCCAACTCTATTGCAAAAGTTTGAAAAGACACCCCTAAATTTTTTCAAAGATCTTAAAGTCATATCCTCTGATAATTACGTAAAACTTGATTCTCTTATTTGTAAAATCAAAATTTTAAGTTTTTATGACTTATCTCTTATACATAAGACATCTTACCTTAGGTGAGCCAGTAATATTCACTTGCAGTGGAAGATCTGATAAAGAATCTTCTCTTAGAAGCTCAGCTACTTGTATGAATCTCCCAGCCAGCAGTCGAGAGCTATATCTAACCTTAGCGATGAGTCCCCGTTGGCAAGTGACGTACGCGCGCGACTCTTCCGCTTCACTTCATAACCATCTTGTCAAATTCCTCACCGAAGGCAAATCGGCATGCATAATTCTTTGACCAGGAGAAAGATGCTCCTGCAAACTGTTTCGATTGCATGTCAATCTCCTGTCAAGCTTTAAGTTCCTTTGGGGACAGTGATTTTGTTTTCTAAAGCAGATTTGCAATGACTTCCACAGAATTAAAGTAATGTGATAAGAAGTGTAAATCATCCTGTAATAGAAAAAATAGCCACATATTCTCGAATCAGAATTATGCATAAACTTACCCGTTGTAATTATTGGTAGGCATTGTTCTATTCTTTATATTTTACAATATTAATAATGTTATTAATAATGCCTAGAATGCTTGAGAAAGATAGGCAACTTTAGCTTAAATTAAAGCGATTCTAAACTTTGGACAACTATTGTTTTACAGAGTTAACCGACCTATAAACAATCCTTACAGATATTAAATTTCGACAAACATCCTCATCACACGACAGAATAAAATGGCATAATTATACATGTTCTATCATACAAGTGTAGGAAGACTACGTCATTCGAAATTGTATACAAAGGTCTTTAAATATATATTATATCCATTCCTTCTTTATTAATACCTATTTCAAAGAGAACATAGATTTAATAGACTTGAAGACTTATTATAACTAAATAAAGTTGCTTCCATACCAAGATATTTATCCACAATGATCAATTATGTCGCCAACTATTACTCTATGTTTCACTACTGGTTCTACAACCATCATGATAACAAGAAAAAAAGTAAATTAATTCCACATAACTGGTAAATAAAGAGATACAACTGCATTTTTGTTCTTTTTCATTTTTTTATCAATAGGTTTAAGTGTTTTATGTGAAATGTTTGAGATAAAAATTACATGTCTTGAATTCTAGTATGTCAATATTTTTCAAGGTTTGTCAAAAGCTGTCTTTTTTGGGGGGGGGGGGGGCTATCAGAAAGTATTCTGCTTCATTAAATCGGCAAGTTATAACAGAAATTGGATGAACCACCCCAAGGAAAAGGTTATATAATACATGTACTGTTTTTTAAGGGTCAAGATAAGGCTGATAGAAAGGCAATCTTGAAAAAGCCATCTATTAAATAAAAGCCTGTTTATTAAAAAATCTCCAAAAATTATGAAATATAGACTGTCACATCACAGTATTTAAAGTAGAGATTGTTCTGAAAAATGGACCGTCACATAAAAATGTCTTAATGAAAAAGGTGAAGATAACGAGCAGTGATCGGTTTATAAAATCTACAAACAATACAAATCTGTGAATAAGGTATAAAAACAAATACCCCGGGAAATTCCAGAAACAGGAACAAGGGCCTAGGAGCATGCATCCCCTGTTGATCGATCACACCCGTCATGAGCATTATGTATTGATCAGGTAGGCGGAAAGTCAAAGTTCCGTAGTCAAATTTAGCATAAAAACAAATGCCTAACAATTGGATGATGAAACACATCAGCCAAAATACGATCCATTGATTAAATTATATTTCTTAACAAGATCATCATAACGACCATAGAATTTACAAAATGCTGACTTTAAACGAGGTTTATGAAATCCCTGTAACATCAACTTATCAATCAGTAGCCTGCCTCGATTAAAAAAATGATCTTACTCAGAGTATGCTCTTGAGTATCTCATATGTCGGGAGACGTAAACACCATATATATGCAGGTCATAGCGGAATGTAACTACGTGTACATAAATAAGGAAAGTTGACGATGAAAGAGCTGAATTCAGCTTGTTAATCATACAATTTTGTTTTTTGTCGGCTCTTATTATCGATAGTCAGTAAAATATCCAAATATGAAACAAATGTGGCAGACTCTGTGGTGTCTTTAATTTCAAGTTCATTAGGATATATCGAGTCGACATATGAATGGAAGTACCTATTGTTAATTGATAAAAGGTCTTCGGTATGTCTGAATGTTGAGATGAAGGCCACAGCAAGTGTTTTCTTCTCCTGTAGAAGTTTTTAAAAAAAATTCTGCTTCATAAGAATATAAAAACAGATCAACTAATAAAGGAGCACAATTAGTGCCCATCGAAATTCCAACATTTTGTTGGAAGACACGGCTTCCGAAGACTACAAAAATGTTGTCAATAAGGAACTCCAGCATTCTTTTAAAGAAATACACGCTATCACTTGCGTCAGTTAAAAATAAAGTTTATTTATTTTGTTTACCAAATAAAGTTACGAAAATATTGTAAATTACACAATTGGAAATGAACGCATTATAAAGATCTCAAATTATAATTATTTATTATCCTACTAGGAAAGTAATGCTATAATTAAATTCATGCATCATGTGACAACGTCGCTACTTTTAGATTGATAAACAAAAATGGCGTCAAGAAAACGAGGTAGGCTGTTTGGTATACAAAATAGCTTTTGACATGGATGGCATACGTTTTATGTTTAAAGATACTTATCTTTGAAAACAACCATTATTAACCATCTACTCTGTAATGACAGATATTAACTTTTATTCAAAATCGTCGTCAAAATGCAACGTACCTCGTTGTCTATGATTTCCCGGGGACATGCGTGTCTATATACTGTTTACGCACTTCCTTCATCAATATTCATGAATAGGCTGAATTCTTAATTGCAGATCTTGCTTAATTGTTTTGTAATTACAACGACTTATTTAGTAAAACTTTGTGGAAAGTAATTATTTTTTATTACACATCATGTTTCTCAAAATCATTTAATCATTTTGTTTCACATAAAAAAAATCGCGTTTATATAGCGTGTATATCTTTAAGAACACTTCAGAGTACTTTTGTGTAGAATCAGAGTGATTTTAACATAGTATTAGCATATTGATAGAATAAATACTTTCAAATCAAAGTATCTTATACCGCATACAACTGTTTAAATATAAACTGTCATATCACTGTATCTACATGCACATGCGTTATATAAACTGTTATATAGACTGTTATACTGCATGTTTCAATACATACCAGTATTTGGTTATCCAAAATAATATGAAGATAACGAACATTAATCAAGCTCAAATCCATTGAAACAGTACAAATTGTAAGCAGAGAAGACCCCTAAAACATCAGGAGAGGTGAGATTAGGTGCCATGGAGTAGTAAGCATCCCTTGTCGACCGGTCACACCCTGCCGTATTCCCCTATAATCGGGTATACGAAGAAATCCGTAGAAATTCAGTGTGAAAACTAGAGGTACTTTGAGCACTGAGCTCCTAAAATGATACCCCGCTTCCACGTGAGTATCAAGAGTAAAGTCCAGGTTTTGCTGTGAGAAACCCCAAATGTCTGTCCTATCAGAACATAAAAAATGCACAATAGCACTATATAAAAAAAATTTGAAAATCTCGTTAAATTTTATTCAATGGTATAAGAGGAATTGTGGATAAGAGATGGGCACCCCTCCGTATTATAGAAAGAACGGCAGTGTCCATATTTTTCTATTGCAAACTTCAAATATCTGTCCGATCAGACATAAAATAAAAGATTCACAATGGCACTATGCAACAAAGTTTCTGTGAAAGCCTGATTTAATTTTATTCATTGATCATAGAAGAGGGTAAGAGATGGGTACCCCCTCCATGTTATAGAAAGAATGACAGTGTCCATGTTTTGCTATGGCAAACACCAAACATCTGCCCGATTCGATTAAAAAATAAGAGGTGCACAATGACACTTTGTAATAAAGATTCTGTGAAAGTTTCATTAAATATTCAGTTTTATAGAAGGAGTTGCGAGTAAGAGATGGGTACCCCCATTTATAGAAAGAATGGCAATATCCATATTTTGCTATGGAAAAACAAAATATCTGTCCGATCAAGTGATTAGAATAAAGTGTGCACAATGGCACTATGCAATGAAGATTCTGTGAAAGTCTGATTATATTTTATTCAGTGGTATATGAGGAATTGCGGATAAGAGATGAGTCCCTTTGTTATAGAAAGAATGGCAATATCCATGTTTTGCTATGAAAAACCTCAAACATCTGTCCGATCAAAAATATTAGTAATAATAATAAAATAGGAGTTGTACAATGACACTATGTAATAATGATTCTGATAAAGTCTGTTTAATTTTTAATCAGTGGTGTAGGAGAGGTGTGGATATGAGATGGGTACCCCTGTATCATAGGAAGAATGGCACTGTTAATATTTTGCTATTGATAACCCTATTTATCTGCACGATCGAAAAATAAAAAGAGGTGCACAATGGCACTATGTAATAAATATTGTGTGAAAGACAGATTAAATTTTAGTCAGTGGTATAGGAGGAAATTGTGGATAAGAGATGGGCACCCTCAAGTGTTAGGGACGTACGGAAGGACGTACACCCCCATCACTACATATCCCCGCTTTTAAAGCTGGGGGTATAATAATGGCCTAACAATATGTATGAAAAACATCAGTCAACATTTGACATGTGACGTAACGGTATACTATATTTGCTAACAAGTCATGGTATCGACTTTACAATTGTCGAAATATTTTTGACTTTTAACGAGACTGTTGACATCCTTCTAGCATCATCTTATTTATCAATAACTTGCCTCGTTTCAGAAATTGCACATCAAATCAACTTTTTCAGTTTACAGAAACATTTATTGCTTTACCTTTCAAACAAAGATTTGTTTAAAAAATTGCATATAAGGATTATTATTTTAGTTTACATATAAAAATAGAAATTTATTGTTTTAGTTTACATATAAAAAGAGATTTGTTGTTTTAGTTTACATATAAAAAAGGAATGGGTGTTTTATGTTTTACCTATGTTAACATATAGAAAACATGCTGTTTTAGTTTTTTACTTTAAATATACAAAGAGATTTGTTGTTTAATTTACATGTCTACACAGGTTTATGTTAA